TAAAAACCTTTTTTTTTTTTTTAACGTCGTTTTAAATGTAATTTATTAAAAAGTCTTCGAAAAAACTTAATGTGTATTATGATTTCCTAAATTTAAAATTTTTTACTTATTTGCTTTCCATTCAAGTGTATAGGATTTTTTTTAATTTCTGTTGAAAAATAAAATAAATAAATATTTAAAAAAATTAGAAAGCTATTAAATCTTTTTGTAATTAAAAATGAACTAATTTGTCTAGATAGACGATGAAATCAAAAAATGCGAGGAGATACTTTGTTCTAAAATAATTAATACAAGTGATTTGATAAATATTTCAAACATATTAACAGATGGTAATAAAAAGTTACAATCAACTGAAAATAATTTAATATCTATAAAATTTGTTTTTTCATAATATAATAATATGTGTATATTTAACAGATTTGATGAAAGTATTTGTGGAAAGCTTAAGTAAGTTTTTTAATTATTACAAAATATTAATGTTACATATTCATGTATATTCCCTTTATAGATTTAATTTAAAATAAATTGGATAATTTTCAGATGATCATGAAAAATTTGTAAATATGTATGATGTGTATTATTTTGCTTTTAAAATTAAAAAACCTGATTCGAACTTTGATAACATTTTACAAGAGTCAGTACAGTATTTCAACGATTTCAATAATCTAGACGTAAATTTAGCTAATGTACGCAAATACTTAGCTAATATTAATGGTAAAATTGAAGATAATTTGGACAATATGATTACCGTTTGGGCTTCTTGTCATTAATAATCGCTGATTCTCTGTAATTAATATTTTCATAATTTATAAAATATATTTCATTTAATACTTAAACAGAATTTTTCAAATAAATTTAATTAAAAGTTATTATTGTATCAGTGGTGGACTATGTTTACACGTGAATTGTATTTTAGCCGTTTCTTTATGTTACACATATGGTTTTTCAAAGCACTCAGTTGTTGTGAGTTATATATTCACACCATTAGTCCACCCTGATTGTAATTATTCAA